TGATTTTAGAGAAAATGTTTTCATTTTTCCTTGGTTAGTATAAAGCTGGCTATAGATTTGTTATATCTAGTCTCCATCATGTTGAGGTATGTTTTATTCCCAATTTCTTCCAGGCTGATGTTTGTCAAAAGTCTTTTCTACATCTATTGAGATGACCGCGCAATTGCTATTCTTAAGGTAATTACCTGCTCTCTTACATGTGTTTTGTAAAGAGTTATTTACTTTTCTTTTATGTATATGCGTGTTTTGTCTGTATGTGTGTGTGTCTCCCGAGTGTGTGCCTGGTGCCTGTGGAGCAAGAAGAGGGCATTTTCATTTGATTCTGACTCTGTTTTTTCCTCCTCGATTTCTTCAATGGCCTGGTGGTCATTCAGGTGTATGTTGTTCCTTCTCCAAGTGTTTGTATGTTTCTGTGGTTTCTCTTGTTATTGATGTCTGCTTTTATCATCTGCTATATCTGTTTTTCTCGTTTTTTTTTATTTAATAATACTCTCTTCTTCTATATGGCTTATGGTGCTTTCCCATAATTCAAAGTGCTAGCTGGCGGGGTCTATCCCTAGCAGCCACTGAGCTGATACCAAGTCTTTGTCACGAGTCACAATAGGGCCTATGAGAAGCAACTAGGTTTCACAATCTGCAACTCTCTTGTTCTCCCCATTCTTGACCAACTAGGTGATTATTTTATCTGGCTCTCTACAATGCCTCCTCATATTATAAATGGCATCTGAGTGGAAATGTTAGTAATTATAATAGTATAATAAATTATACACACATTTAAGAAGAGCAAGTTTCCTCTGCCATGTGTCTCTATTCAGGCTTTTTATACCCATGCTGCAGAAGAACCCTAGGCTTGGAAGCAGAAAACCTGCATTCAACTCTTTTTCTTCCCTTTTGGGTTTCCTAACAGTGGGCAGGGGCCACAGCCCCAGGAAGACCCAGGGCCAGTTAAAAGTCAGCTTCAGGTATAGAATATATATGGCTTCAATCCTCCTCAAAATTTGCAGACCCTCTATAATACAGGCTTTTTCAGGACATGGAGCAAGTAGCTTTAATTTGGTTTTGTATGAACTCTCAGCTCTCTCCCCCTTGCTGCCTACAAGTAGTGAATATATTGCCTTTTGCACAGGTAACATATTTTTGCATGTAAAGGTGTCCCCCTCCTCTCTCGTATACCAAGGAAATAAGGGCACCCCAAAATTAATGATGCAAAATGGCCACCAAAACAAATCTGCACAAATAAGCCTTACTAAACTGACCATCTTTTTCAATCAGTTTCCCCTCAATTTAATACAACATAGAAGTTCTCCACTGGGAAAGTTTTCCTTATTTTCTAGGAAGGCCTTCTCCCTACATTCATATGAAATAAACCTTTGAATTTATTATTCTGCCTCTAGCTAGTTTGACTCCAAGACCCACCCACCCTCTAACCCTAAAAGAGTAGAGGAAAAGGTTTTGTTTTGTGTGTTTTCCTTCCCTAATACTGGGAAGTTCTCCCTCTGATCTGCACCGCCAAATCCTCAGGACTTCAGTGTGCTCAAAAATTCTCCCAAATTAACATTGCCCATAGCTCTCTGCCATGTCCAGTCCCGCATGGAATCAGTGGGGTAAACGGACATGTGGAGCCATTTACAAATCGTGTCAGATACTTGCATTATTGTAAATGCAACATAGCCAGGTGATATGTTTTGTCTCATTTCTGAAAAGTTCTTCAATCCATAGACAGCTGAGAGGTTTAGTGAGTCAAACATGATTTAAGAAGTGGGAATGTGCCCTGATCTACTCCTGCCCCCCAATAATTTATTATCAACAGGTCAAATGAACTATTTCCCACCTTTATACAATTTGTACTCTCTGCAGCGAACCTTCTTCCAGCTTCCACTCTGCTAGAACATCACACGTCCGCCAACGTCACAGATGACTTCTTTCCCGAGAGTTAATTTCGTGGACTGGAGATACAGCAGTGTTGTAAAGTGTTGGCTCAGTGTCTGCAAATCCTGGCTTCTATGCCCCCGCTCACCCCACCCCACTCCCACCCCCGCCTTAACAACGATAAACAACAACAGCTTTGGAATAGTGGAAGAATTTCTTAACTTTTGTGTGCTATGTTTTCATTTTTGGATGTTTTTAGTTTTTTGTTTGTTTGTTCGGTTGGTTTTGGTTTTTCAAGACAGGGTTTCTCTGTAACCCTGAGAACCCTGGAACTTGCTCTCTGGATGAGGCTGAACTTGAACTCAGAGATCTGCCTGCCTCTGCCTCCTGAGTGCTGGGGCTAAAGGTGTGCGCCACCACCACCCAGCTTCTGTACTATTTTTAATGTAACAATTTACAAATATGAGCTATCCTTAAATTAATATTCATTATTCCATAAAATTATCTGTTCTTCTTATAAAAGGTTTTGTTATTTGAGACAGGTTCTCTCTATAGCCTTGAACTCATTGATATCTACGTGCTTCTACCTCCTGAGTGCTGAGGTTAAAGGCCTGTACCACTTTGTCCAGCCTATTTTTTTTTTATTTCTAAGTTATGTTATATGTGTATCCATAGTGCTAGAGCATAAAAAGACCAGTGGTATTAGATCTCTCTGGAACTGGAGTTACAGGTGGTTGTGAGCCACCCAATATGGGGTGCTGAAAATGGAACTGGGGTCCTTTACAAGAACTGTACATGCTTTTAACTGCTGAGTCATCTCTCCAGCTCTTCTTTGAATTTTCTTTCCTGTCTTATATTTTACTCTGTATGTGTATAGGGGGCACACACGCATATGGAGGTCAGAAGACAATTTCCAGAAGCTGATCTTCTCCTGCTACCCAAGTTCCTGGGATTGAACTCAGATTGTTAGTTTTGGCCTTTATCTTCTGAGACGTCTCATTGGCCAACAAAACCTTTCTTGAAACAGCAAAAACTCTAACAATGCGTTTTTAACATACCAAGCACAGAACCACTCAAGAATGATAGATTATAGGTCATAGTCAGCTGACTTTAATTTTTGAGAGGAGGCAATTGCTGCCAGGAACTTTTAACCCTGAGATTTCTGGGATTGGTGCCAGAGATCAGGGAGGGCACAGAGTTGTGAATATGGGAGACAGTCCCTGAGGTAACTCATATTGTCCCCATTTCCTGTTGTGTCATCTTGGGCATGGGCTAGATTGATGACTGGCTTTCTATGGCAAGAAACAGGACAGGCTTCCTATTGCCCTGTCGCCCTGTCCTCACTTTTCTTGCTGTCTCTCCACCTCATTAAGCACCTCCTCCTCTGGATGCTGTGTTCTGAGCTGCCCTGGAGTGAGATCCACCTGAGAAGGAAACCAGAACCCGTGATGCCTGAGGCCTGGCAATAGCCGCACAAAGAACGTGGAAACAATGTTCTTTTAGTCAGCCCCAGAGATGAAGAATCACATACTACCAGGTCACTAAAGTGTAGCACCTGTCCCCTAAGCTTTGAGGCATAGGGGCCCGGCTAAGTCATGCCTGGAACCCTGACCTATATAAACAGAGATGGTAAATGTTTGTTTAGGACCACTCTTTCTAACATAGATAGGTATCTGATACCCATGATTGGAAATGAATAGGATGCTAATCAATCCCCTTTGCAGACAATCTGAACAGCTCTAGGAGATTAACTCCCCGAGTTTGTACTGCCCAGGTCCACAGGGCTCAGCTGGGAGTTGGTGAGGTCTTTGCTCTCCTCTTCACTCCAGTTGCCACAGCTGAAGGGCCCTTCTGCTTCTGTTGGGATGTTTTGGTAACAAAGAGCAGTCCACCAAACCAGGAACTTCATCAGATGAAGTACAACCTCCACCCCGTTAAAGACGCAACCAGTAACTTGCTTCTGCTGCTTGAGCAAGCTGCTATCTCTGCTCTGCTATGCTTGCACTGCAATTTTGTTTGCACGGTCCCTGAGGATATCCAGGTATTCAGTGCTTAGAATGAGAACATAGACCTTTTATTTTCTTTTTTTCTTCTGGGAGATTCACCATTCACATTTCTCTGGGTTACAGATGAAAGTTATTTCTATTTCTATTTTTATTTTTTTTCAAGACAGGGTTTCCCTGTGTAACAGCCTTGGCTCTCCTGGAATTTGCTCTGTAGACCAGGCTGGCCTCAAACTCACAGAGAACTGCCTGTCTGCCTCCCAAGTGCTGGGATTAAAGTGCCACCACTGCCTTGCCATATTTCTATTTTTTTTTAAAAAAATAAACTTCCATTAGTTCACTGAAAATTTCATGTAACACATCTCGATCATATTCACCACATATTTCTTATCCCCTCCTAGATGCTCTCCCACTTCCCTCCCCACCTACATAACCTGTGTTGAAAAAAAAAATCCTAGTGTACTGCTCAAATATGTTTGGGTTTGAGATCTACCATGGAGCTTGGTTGACTTAACCAGGTCATGACCTTAAAGAAGGAGCTAGCAGCAGCTAGCAATGGCCAATAGCTCCTCAGGTAGATGGGGGACTTCATAACCATTTTCCCACTGCATCCTGGGATTTTCTGTGGCATGAACTCTTACAAGTCTTGGGCGTGTTACACTGGTGTTCAAACGACCAGCCGCTATGCTATTGTCTTGAAAGCACAATTTCCTTGTGGTCAAATAAGCCTGTAACCGCCTCCGCCCCTTCTGTGAAAATCCCATAGCCTTGCACAGAAGGATGTGATATGAAAATCCCATTTGGGCATGAGCACCCTGAAGACTTTTATTCTCTGCACACTGACCAGCTAATTGCCGTCTACTACAAGAAGAAGCTTCTCTGGTGACGGTTGAGAGATACCCTATCCTACAGGTCTGGCTACAATAAGTCATTAGGAGTCACTTTAATACTAAATCCATCTAGCCGACTATAATAACGGGCTCTCCCCTAGGTCTCTCTAGCCAGAGGTTCTTGACCCTGAGAACAGTGCTAGCTTTGGCTTCCGTCACGTGCAGCAGGTCTAAAGTCCGATCAGAAAGTATTTGGTTATGCCCATGGCATGTGTACCACAAACATCCAACATAATCCTCTGTTTTAGGCCATGTTTATTAAGATTAAACTTTATAGGCTTTAGGAAATGGGGGGCATTGATAGCAGTCATTCTACTCCGAGAGGCAATTACACCATAAAGTGCTGAAGAAACTTGCCAAGGCTCCAACATTTGGGGTTCTTTTACTGATACAATTTACAGCTGGTGTAACCTCACGTTACTGAGATGTGGGGATTTCCTGGTTTCGGCCCAATGCAGAGTTAGCAAATCCAGGCAGAGAAGTTAATAGCCAGGGCGCTGGGCACTATCCTGAAAGGGCTTGTGGTAGTTTGAAAGCAAATGGCCCCCAAAGGGCGTGGCACCATTAGGAGGTGTGGCCTTGTTGGAGGAAGTGGGGGTGGGCTTTCAGGTCTGCTTTACTCAAGCAGTGCTCGGCTGTGACACACAGTTACTTCTGCTGCCGGCAGATCAAGCTATTGAACTCTTGGCTCCTTCTCCAGCACCATGTCTGCCTGCTTGCCATCCGCCATGAAAATAGACTAAACCTCTGAAACTGTAAGCCAGCCCCCAATGAAATGTTTTCTTTCATAAGAGTTGCCATGGTTATGCTGTCTCGGTACAGCAATAGAAGCTGTAACTAAGGCAGTGCTTTATATTTATTGGGGGATTTAAGCACTCAGCAGGTGCTATTGCTGTTCCACTTCATGAAGGAGGAAATGAGGTACGGAAAGGTTAAGGGACTAAGTAAAGGACGTACCAGCATTCAAAGGCGGAGTCAGGCTCCACAGCCAACATTAGGCACTGTTTAGCAAGCCTCCTGGCCTGCCCCTGTGCCTGCAGCATGTTTGAAATATTTTAAGTGAAATAAAATGATCATTAACTTTCAAATACTCATAGAGAATTAATTCTGTGTAAGTGAAGAAGGAACTTAGGTGTTTGTAGAAAACATAACAATCGTTAAGTCTTTGATGATTTAAAAGAAATTGTTTTATGATTTTTGTTTTCATATATTTCTAACAACAGGAGTTTACTCTCAGACCTGAGCTATTTCTTGATAGACAGCCTGCGGGAGGAGCATAATGTCTGTGTTTAATCATTTAAGGGACTGCCAGACTGTTTGTTTTTCAAGGTGGTCAAACCAGACCCCCATCAGCCAGTTTAGGAGGGTTCCAGTTTCTTCACGGTCTTATTCATCATGCCTAAAAAAAAAAAAAAAAAGTACTTCCAGTTAATATAAAGTGATATCTCATGTTTTTTCCTTTGATTCTCTCCCCACCTCCAATTATTGATGTTAAATATATTTTGTATTTTTTTTTGGCTATTTATATTGTTTCTTTGGAGAGCTTTATTTCTTTACCTGGTTCACTGGTTCACTTTATTTCTTTATTTCTTACCTGTCACATTATTTCTGGCCTGATTCAGTTTCTTCTCTTGTGGGAAAAGCAATCGCAATTCAATCCGTCACTGGTCTCACTTATCTCAGTACAGTTCCTAATCTCCAGGAAATGCAAAATGGGTTGGTAAAGCATGTGATCTTTGCATTGTTAACCTCTTAGTTTTCAGAGTTCATAACTTCAATAAAAGACTCCATGAACTCAAAGTTCATTGTATTGGGCTGGTCTTAGATCTAAGAGGGTTTACGTATTCAAGATACCATTGAACCTCTATGAAAGCAGGGCTTTATTCCAGGGCCATAACTCAGGATGAGGATCAGTCACAAAATGTCAGAAGAAGAATCTAGAATAAAAAAAACAAAACAAAACAAACAAACAAACAAACAAACAAACAAACAAAAAACCAAAATAGTGCAGCTCAGGGCCTTTCAAAACCCCCAAAGGTTAACCAACAAACATGGGTTGCCTTGATCTGTCCTGGTTTTCTCAGATAGTTCTGGGCAATACCAAAGCCCTGGTTAAAGAAGTCCACCAGCCATGTGTCCCCCGCACCTCATGCTCTCAGGTGTGAGGTTACAGAGCTGTAAATAAGGCAGCCATGAAGTGCATTGGCTGAACTCTGAGGCTGTGCCAACATCACGGCTTTGAACTCTAGACTGGTTGTTTATTTTCAGCTTATGAATCTTGGCATTCACTTTGCCTCTGTGAACCTCAGGCAAGTTCAGGTGAGACACAGAAGGGTTCAGGTCTAATGTGGATCATGGTAAAAGTTAGTATCTAAGGGTGGAATTCATATATTGTCAATAGTAACCTTGAAAATTCTTCAAGTTCAAAAGCAAGCACATCCCAAGCACATAGTTGAATGTAGACAATGCTAAATACAGTTCCCTCATATGCCCCAAAGTTTTGTTCATTATCCTCAATGCACCAGTTCCTTTATGCCAGCTCAGAGGAGAGATTTTCAGAAAAGGGTGGGACTCCCTGGGAAAGACCAAGGTAGAATAATCTGGAATTAAAGATGTGGATTGTCCATGGGCCTGAGTGTGAGGTGTAAGTTCACTTGGGAATAAGGAACACTTTGTCTTCAGCCCACTCTATGTCCCCAATCCAAATGGTTTTGCTCCTATTTCATCTCTGCCCCAAGACTAGTACCTCTGAGCCTGTTTCCATGTCTGTCAATGGGTATATGAGCATGTATGCCAGCTCAAGAAGCTAGGGAGCATGCCAGTAACTACATATATTTTTCATGTGTGTGTGTATATATGTAGGTACATACGCCACAGTGCACATATGAAGGACAGAGCAAACTTTTGGGTTCCAGTATTCATCTTTCACCATGTTTGGAAGCAGTGTCTCTTGCCTTCTTCTGTGAACACTCTCTCACCTCTGGCAGAAAAAAAAAGACTCATTTTGGGGAGTCAAACCTTTGCAATCACCTTTCCAGTCTTTCTAAAGATTTCAGCTCACGAGTGAGGCGGATCTCAGGTACGACTGTCTCTACTGCTCATCTCAGGGCCATCGGGCGACTTGTAAGGCATTCCTTAGACTACTTTACTTCTTCCTCTTTTTCCTCTAAGTACTCATGTTGACCTCTTGCAAGTTAAGTGTATGCATGCTGGTTCTCCGCCGTGGAGATGCCACATGGCAGAGCACTGATCAAGCCTTTTCATGAAAGACCTTCAACACATACCCAAGAAGTCCAAGTTACCCCAAACTAAGCTGCTTTGTTGACTGAAGTGGTAACCTCCAAGATTTCTCTTCTGAGAGAAGAGCAGGGTACTGCAAGGCACAGTCTAGTGCCCAACTCTGCTGGCCAACCTACATGGAGGCCTCTCCCACAGCCTATTCTAGAAGCTTTCCAGGCCTGTTCCACCTAGCCTATTACTCAGTACATATAGTACGATGGTCATACCAGAGGTCAGCTGGTACCTAGAGAAGAGTTTGTTTTCATCGAGGTAGACCTGGAGCTTCAGTGTCTACCCCAGCAGCAACAATGGCGAGAGGCAAGAATTTAACACTGTCCTCCAGGATCAGGAAGAGTGCGGAGACACAGGCACCGTCAGCCAGGAAAACGAGGACATTTGGAACCTGACTGGGAATACAGAGTGGCACCTCCCCGTTATTGTGGCTCATTCATTGGGAGGCTCCTCACTGAAGTGTTTTAACGAAAGGGAAACCCTTTGCACTGGCAGAAGCAAAAAGGCCTTTCAGGTATGAGAGTAAGACACTATGTCAGACCAGTGGGTTGGCTCAGTGGGTCAAGGTGTTTGCCTCTTAAGTCTGGGAACTTAAGTTCTAACCCCGGAACCCATATAAAGATTAAAGGAGCAAACCAATCTTACAAAGGTGTTTTCCGATCTCCAAACATATGCCATATACAACAGTACACTTGCACACACACACACACCCCTACTAAAAAGACTGCATCAGTTAAGTATTCATCAGGAGAGAAATGGTTAAGTCCATCATGGTATATCTGGTATACCTTCCTAAGAGAATAACTATCTGTTCTAGTACGGGACAGACTCTGGAACTGTTGCTAGGAGGGAAAAGGTGGGGTGTGTGAAAGAGAAAAGGGAAAGGAGGTTGTAGATAAGCCCACATCCTTTTTGATATTTGCTTCTCAGATCTCTAGGAAGAGACACAAAACACGATCAGCAGCTGTTGCTTTCACAAAGGAAGACATACTCCTTTCTACTGCTTAAATATTTTGTGCGCTTGTATCAGATTTGTTTAAATAACCCCATAATATTAAAATCCAACTATAATGAAACTTAAAAAAGAAAAATGAAGCTCATGTCTCTTTCCTTTATATTACTAGCAAAGTGGTGTGTGATAGACTTCCTGTTGCTCTGGCCTTTTCTGGCAAAAGGGTTTTACAATCGGATAATCAAAGGTTGGGTTGGATAGCATCCACACAGTAAACACAGAAATGTATAGTCATCTTTTAAAGATCAAGTGCATAATTCAGATAATGACGACACGTGGAACGGAGCGGGCTGGTACAATGACTGTGCAGATTGGTGTTGATCCAATACTGTCTCACAGGTCTCAGAAAATGAACGTGTATTTTCCCTTATATCGGAGAAGAAAAAATGATTCCTTCACACTGCCACGTCCACAGCAGTGACTGCCGTGTAGTGACAAAATGCCTCTGCGCTGGCTTTTGCCTGCTGAAGGATTGGGGTTAGAGCTTCCTGGAGCGAAGCCCCAGGCGGTCCCCTGGCAATCAGTGGTCAAGATAGGACCTGATGCCGTAGGCAGATCTCATATCTGGAGATAGCCTTGAGAGCGAGCCCTCCTGGCACCCTGCATGATCTTTCTCTGTATTTCTTAACTTTTCTGTTTTTAGCTGACCGCTTACCAAGAAATCAAAGTACGTCCTTGGCTCGGCCCCACCGTTCATTAAAGCAGTCCTTGAGGAAATAAAGTATGCCCCACGCCACATGAGCCTGGGAAACTTTATTAATTATGATACAGAAACGGCTAAAGTTGATATGTTACGAGGGAATCGTCATAGTGAATCAGATTTAGAGAGAAAGAAGGAGAGTTAGAGAAAATTCCCCAGCGCACTCCTTGATTCACTTCCTTATACAGGAGCCTATGATGAGCAAGGGAATAGATGGGTTAATGTTGATGGACAAAGACTGTTATATTATACTTTCAACTTTATGGATAGGCTTGCTAGACCCCAACCCCCATGATGTCTGCCGCATAAGAAGGTACTAAAAATATAGTTCAACAGGTGCAGAAAACTGATTAGGTATATTTGGTCACTAGACGAAATAAAGGGTTAAGAGGAGGAAGGGCCATGATAGCAATAATAAGACAGAAACTTTCTGTTCATAAGATGTAACCACTTGCCTGAGGCTTACAGTCCCAAGGACAAGGAGTTCCTCTTCTAAGATTTACAGTCCCAAGGACAAGAGTTCCTCTTCTAAGGACGCTTTGTGTCTAACACCTGTTCCTGATAACATACTTTTTAAACATTGCTAAAAGAAGTTTTCATACTGTGCCAACTAATGATACATGACTTTCTGACTTGTTCTTTGTTTGAATACTATATAATGAAAGCATGATTTTAGTAAAATCGCAGCAGATTCTCACTACACAGTGTGTCTGTCTGTCATTCCCTTGCGTCGTATCCTGGCTATCCTATCCTTCACCCTGTTCTCCCGTGGATAGCGGTCTCCAAGAGGGACGGTCCGTGGCATCACACTACGTCCTAATTTCTATGCATATATAGGACATGGTGACTCATGTCTCTAATATTAGTACTGCAGAGGCTGAGGCAGGGGAACTGTGAGTTTGAGTCCAGCCTGGACTAGATGGTGGGATTCTGGCGGAAAGAGAAAGGGGGTGGTGAGAAGAAACATGAGTTTCCTTCTTATAACAAGAGGAATTTAAGTCTTTTTTAATTAAACGAATGCAACACATCCTTCCATAGTGAAACAAACACTCCACAACAATGTCCTCCTTTCCTAGTGTCGCCGCTGGGTTTTCCTCCAGGAAAATGCCAGGACTCCTACTCTTGGCTCAGGTGGCTTCTTCATAGCCTCACAACTGAGACTCTGCACCATAACCATTGGCCACCTCAGGAGGAGGGCAGGTACCTGGCATCTTCTAAGTCCTGGGAACCAAGGAAAGCTGGGACCAAGAAAAGGATGGCCAACATGGTCACACAAGGAGGGAAGGGAACTCCATCAAAAATAATCTCACAAGATCGCTCGCCTTTGTGCCTCTGCATGTAATTTAAAGCCTGCAGAATGGTACTTGGCAGACACTTATTTAGTGACTGGAGGACAGGAGGCCCAGAGCTGCTTGGTTAAAAAAAAAAAAAAAACCAACTCTCTGAGCTGTCTCCCCACCTTCAAGGGGCCCACTAGGCACAGGGGGGCAAGTGCCTCATAAGGAAAGATCTTCTGGGCAGGCCTGGCAGATTGGAAGAAGTGGTGGTATTTGAGGTGTGAATTTGGCAGGATTCAATGGGTAGAGGTGGGCAAGAAAGTTGGTTTTAGACTCATGAGATCAGTAGAGAGCACCACGTGGATGGGAGCAGATTCATTGAGACAAGTGACCAGAAAGGTGGCTTTCAGAATATGGCTTATTAGTTACATCCTAAGAGTCATGAGGATTTCATGGCTTTAGTCAGGACGACATGGGAGAGAGTTTGACCAAGGACATGAAGGCTCGGGCTCTGCTTGGCAGCAGTGTCGCTGGGGGAAGACAATAAAATGCATGGATTTAAGGATTTAAAGAGAGTTTAGCGGCAGGTAACTCCTTTGTGCTTTAATTAGGCTTAGTGAGACATTAGACATGAACAAGTAGAAGCTGCCTGGCCATTCCGTCCTCTCAGGATGGATGCTTCCTGGTTGTATTAATGAGATAACCCTGTACCCTCACAATACCTGTTGCTTCTCGGAGGCAGCTGACTGGAAATTTTTGCCACTCCAGATGAAGGCTGTGTGTGAAGTATTTACCAGTGCAGCCTAAGAAATGCAGTGGAGCTGGAGTCTTAAAATGCTTTGTATTCTTTGATCTACAGCTCTGTGCCTGCTTTTAATTTCAGTACACACGAGGCAGAGCCCAGGTGGATCTCTGTGAGACTGAGATCAGCCAGAGTTACACAGAGTGACCCTGTCTCAAAAAAAAAAAAAAAAAAAAAAAAAAAAAAGTTTGCTTACGCATGAGCCTGAACCTAAGCCAGCATCAGCCACAGTTTCTGCCTCAGGTTCATAGGTTCATGCTGGAATTCCTGCCCTGCCCTCGGCGAGGGGCTGCAACCTCCAAGGTGAAATAAACCCTTCCTCCCCGCTGCTCCTAACAATAATACACTAAAAAATGTACTAAATAAATGCGCTTATGTTCCCCCCAGGTTCTCCCAAATCACACATAAACACCTGCGTGTCAAATGCAATCCTGCCCCTAACAGCGCTCCGTGAAATGAGTCTCTGGTATATGATTGACACAGCCGTTCTGAGGAGGCTTCGGAACAGCTTGTCCTGTCCCGGAGACCCGCACAACAGAGCCTTGCCCCCCTGCTGAATCGCTCTTTGCTCTGACCGAGGCAGCTTAAGAACAGTGTCCACGGTTATTTGGACGTGCTGTGGGTAGTTAGTATGAGCGAGGTTGACATCAGGTACCTGCCAACAAGAAAGTCTCCAGGACGTTTCCTAGACTGTCGCAGACTGTATTCCATGCCTAAATGCGGATAGAGTCAGAAGCGAGCTTGGAAAAATGTTGCTCTTTCCCAAAGAGCAGCAATCTTCATCCAGGAGAAACCCGAGAGCCTCTTTCCCAGGTCGCGCGAGTGTTCTGACTGCACTTTAGCTCTGAGATGGACAGAAGCGAGATGCAGGAGTCATTTGCCACCTCTGTTCCGGGTTGCTCAGGGTGCCGAGAGCAAGTGGTTCCGTGTTTAAACCGCAGGAGTCCTTGTGTCAACGTGCAATAACAAAACCAGACAGCAGAAACAGAGAAAAGCTGGGGAGGTCTCTAGGGCCATCAGACAATAGACTTCACAGATGTCACAAAGCATGTGGCCTGTGAGTGTGGATCAATAGGCTTTGCTTTTGGACGGGGCAAAGGACAAAATAGGCTGATCGAGGGCTGGAGAGATGGCTCAGTGGTTAAGAGCATTGCCTGCTCTTCCAAAGGTCCCGAGTTCAATTCCCAGCAACCACATGGTGGCTCACAACCATCTGTAATGAGGTCTGATGCCCTCTTCTGGCCTGCAGACATACATAAATATTAAAAAAAAAAAAAAAAAAAAAAAAGGCTGATGGAGCACTGTGCCCAGAGGCACAGCTGTGTGGGGAACCTTGCTCCCTCTGCAGAGAGTTTCCAGAGCCTTGGAGAACTCCTATGGAAATGTAGAGGAAAAGGTGGGGGAGAAGCCCAGGGGCAGAGGCTAATGAGAAAGGCGTGACTGTGCTGGACCACTCCCTCTTCACCAGCTGAGACAAAATGTTCCCAAACTGAGAGTACCATCGCGGTCAGCATTGTATTGTGCAAATGCCTCTTGGGAAAGTTACTCTTGATATTGGGCAATCCTGAGTTGACCCTCCAGATCAGCTGCCTGCTGTCCCCTGCTCTCGGGGCTACTGGACTCTGTGGTCAACACCCGCAGGTTCCCTTTCAGTTAACTTCAGGTGGTAGACTTTGGCAGGACACCAGGAAATCAGAGAGGTACCAGGGAAGGTCCCTAGTAGCTGATTAGCAGAACAACATAGCTCAGCCATTAAGAGCAACTGTTCCTCTTACAGAGGACCCAAGACCAATTCCCAGCACCCAAATAGTGGTTCACAGCCATCTGTAACTCCAGTCCCAGAGACATTCTGACTTTTGAGGGTACCAGGTGCACATGCGGTACACATACCTTCACAGAGACAAAACACACATAAAATAAATATATCTAAGAATTGAATAAATATTAATTGACAACAGCAAGTCTAAATCCAGAGTTTGGGGGAAATCTGGCTCCTATGCCTATCCGAGCAGACACACAGTGCTTACCACTGGGCATGTTTACCACATTTGACCCCTCCCTTCCTGCCAGGCTGCAGGTTGGTACTGGCCACACACCGGGCTAGGCCTGCCCTGCTCTAGGGGTCTTCTTTCAGCTCTCTGTTGCTGTGAACTGCTGTGTCCATCTTGTGTTTGTGTGACAAAATGGCAGCCTACAGAATGGGAAAAGATCTTCACCAACCCCACATCAGACAGGGGGCTCATCTCCAAAATATACAAAGAACTCAAGAAATTGGTCATCAAAAGAACAAATAATTCAATAAAAAAAAATAGAGTACAGACCTAAATAGGGAACTCTCAACAGAAGGCTCTAAAATGGCTGAAAGACACTTAAGGAAATGCTCAATATCCTTAGCCATCAGAGAAATGCAAATCAAAACAACTCTGAGATTCCATCTTACACATGGAAGAATGGCCAAGATCAAAAACATTGATGACAACTTATGCTGGAGAGGATGTGGGGTATAAGGGATATTCCTCCATTGCTGGTGAGAGTGCAAACTGGTACAGCCCCTTTGGATGTCAGTATGGTGATTTCTCAGAAAATTAGGAAACAACCTTCCTCAAGACCCAGAAATACCACTTTTGGGTATATATCCAAAGGATGCTCAATTGTACCACAAGGACACACGTTTAACTAATCATAACAGCATTGTTTGTCATAACCAGAAGCTGGAAACAACCTAAATGGCCCTTGATCAAAGAATGGATAAGGAAAATGTGGTACATTTACACAATGGAGTACTACACAACAGAGAAAATAATGAAAAAGGCAAATGGATGGGGCTAGAAAACATCATTTTGAGTGAGGTAACTCAGACCTAGAAAAACAATTAGCACATGTACTCACTCATAAGTGGTTTTTGAACATAAAGCAAAGAAAACCAGCCTACAAATCACAATCCCAGAGAACCTAAACAACAATGAGGACCCTAAGAGAGACATGGATCTAAATCTACATGGGAAGTAGTAAAAGGCAAGATCTCCTGAATAAATTGGGAACATAGGGACGATAGGAGAGAATTGAAGAGGAGGGGAGAGGCAGGGAATGGAACAGAGAAAAATGTGGAGCTCAATAAAATCAATAAAAAGCAAAAAACTAGTGGTGGCTGAGAAGAGACCCGCATCACTGAGGTGAAATATTATGGGAAGTGTTTCCTGAAGGTCAGCAAACACAGAAGCATTTGGGGTTGTACTTTGCTCTGGCAGCTGATCTTGGTAGTGTACAAGTTACTCAAGTGGTATTGGTTTTGAAGACGCTAAGGGACCATGGAGAGTAGCTGAAGTCTGTCACAGTTAGTGGCCAGGAGAAGTCATTAGTGAAAGTGCAGCCCCAGTGGCAACTGAAAGCCCATAACTGTGTTGTCTGAGTTTTTCTATTCAGCCTGGTCCCTGGCAATCGTTAAGCTCCAAATAATCACACAGAGGTCTACATTAATTATAAACTGATTGACCTATTAGCTCAGGCTTCTTATTAACTCTTCTAACTTATATTAATCCATTATTTTTTGACTATGTCAGCCACATGGCTCAGTACCTTTTTCAGCAGGGCAGTCACATCTTGCTTCTTCTGTGACTGGGCCAGGATTGCAGAAGGAACTTCCTTCTTCCCAGAATTCTCCTGTTCTGATTGACCCACTTCTACTTCCTGGTTGTCCTGACTATACTTCCTGCCTGGCTACTGGCCAATCAGCGTTTATTTAAAATATACTCGACAGAGTATAGACCATGGTCCCACACCACTCATGCAAAAGAAGTTAAGGCTTGGCTCCATGAAGAGAGCCTATGAGAGGCTATTGGTGAAAGTGCAGCCCAGTGGCGGCAGAGGATCCCAGCATTGTGGAGATGCCAGTACCACGAGATGACTGGCAAGAACTGCAAGAGCAGGAAGTGGAGCCAGCCAGAGCCTAGAAAACAAGCTGTGTGCTGCAGAGGGCAGAGCTGGAGAAGGAGCTCAAGCTCCTTGGAGGAGTCCAGAAGATCATGCGTGAAGCCCAGATAACTGGGAATCTGGTTATTTATACTCTTGGAGTTTGGCTTTGCTTGATTTAGATTGCGACTGTGTCCTACTTCTTCCCTCTTGAAGAAGACAGTTAATTTAATTTAAATTTTTACAGGCGCCTCCAGCTGAAAGACTGAACTTTTAAGAGAGGTGTTGAATATTTAGAGTGATTGGATATTTTAAAGACACTGAAATGTAATGTGTTTGGATTTGTAAAGACTATGGAACTCTTAAGTTATTTATGCTTTTAAAATGAGAAGTTGGGGATGACTAGGAAAGGAAGGGTGTGGCTTAATAGTAATGTGTTGTGTGTTAAGTTGACAAGAGTTCAGTTATGCTGGCGGGTCTTGTGTCAACTTGACACACAATCTGGAGTTATTTTATATTTTCCCTTTGCAAATATGTTATGGTTTCCAGGGCAGTATTTTTATGGGCTTCTTTAAAGTTTAAATGAATGGGTCTCAGCACCTTTATCTGTTTCTTCTGCCCTTTCCCATCTGTCTATTTCCGTTAATTTTGACGTATACCGATGTGTTAGTTTCTGTTTTATATTATTATATATTATTATCCCATAGGAGCCTGTTTGTTTTCTTCTAATGAGAGATAGGAAGGGGATGTATTTGGATGGCAGGGGAAGAACTGGAAGAAGTAGAGGGAGGGGATACTGTAACTAGAATATACTATGTAACAGAAAAAAAGTCTATTTTCATTAAATAAGAAAAATGAAAAATATTTTTCCAGTCAGTGTGATTCAATAGGGCATCTCAGTTAAATGGTACTGATATATAAAACCCATTTCAAAAAGTACTCAACCCAAAAGCAGCCCTTAATTAGGTGCCCTGACCCAGCCTTGGGCCAGAACATGCCAGTGACTTGGGTGAAATCGCAAGCTTATGAAGGTTGTAGGTGCTTAAAGGTTTGTGTGTGGGGCCACACCGTTGCTAGAGAAAATGAAGGCTTACAAGAGGCTCTGAAGGCTGAGCAGGAGGAGCTGGAAGATGCCCTGTGAGGTTTGGTCCACCTGAAGGTATTATCTCTTGATGGGTTCAAAGAGGTGGAAACAGCACAGTAGGCAGAAGTTGCTGAGAGATATTTCAAAGCTTGATGTGGTCAGTGGTGGAATGAGATTCTTGAGTAAGCATTTTGTGCCATGTTCACACAAGCATTTGGGAAGCTGTACTTTTTGTGTATTTTTTTCACTGTTTGAGATGCTGGGGTAGCCGGGGTATATGTTTTTATCTCAGAGAGTTGATTATCCCAATGAAGCACTCACACACAATCAATAATATGACTCATTTCCCAGAGATAATTTTTCTTCCTCCCCTTTTCTCAAAAATATAATCACTGTTCATTATCCATTGAAGTCAAGGAAGGGATTCAAGCCAGAACCTGGAGGCAGGAGCTGATGCAGAGGCCATGGAGGGGTGCTGCTTACTGACTTGCTTTTTAGAGATTGCTCAGCCTGCTTTCTTATAAAGCTCAGGACCACCAGCCCAGGGGTGGCCCAGCCCATTGTGGATCAATCATTAATTAAGAAAGTGTCTCACAGGCTGGCGTACAGTCCAATCTTACAGAGATATCCTCTCAAATGAGATTCCCTCCTCTCATATGACTCTAGCTCGTGTCAAGTTGGCATTAAAACTAACCAGCACAGGAGCCTATGAAAATATTTAACTTCTCTCCAATTTAGGAGGAAAAATGAAATCAAGACATTTGCAATAAAATGGACAAGCTGGAAGTCATTATGTTAAGTGAAATAAACCATGCTATAAAGATAAACACCACATGTTATCTCTCATATATGGATCCCAGATTTTAATGTGTGGCTCTGGGTCTGAGTTTAAGTCATGAAGCCAGAAAGGGGACCAAGAGAGGGGAAGAAGAACTTAAGTGAGGGTGTGTGTGATGGAATACACGTGACAGGAAACCAGAAGGGGTGGGGGCATGGGACGAGAGGAAGAGAACCACAGCGGGGGAGGGGGAGGGGATGAGTAACAAAGTTACTCATAATTCCATAAAGAAATTCACTACTTTGAATACTGACTGAAAATAATAAACCTGGGATTGAAGAAAATATTTTGATTTCTTTGTTTTGGGAAAAAAAAAACCCAAACCAGACAAACAAACAAAACAACAATCTCTACTACAGCGAGAGAACCCTAGAGGCCAATAGGTTCCCAGCCAACTCTACCAGAAAGAATTTCAAAACAGGTTTCTTGGAAAAGGTGTTTGCAACCAAGCTTTGGGATCGCCAGTACTTGTTTATCCCTTGCAGTGGCAGCAAAGGGACTGGAAGGGATGGCAAGGACATTTCAGAGAAGACAAAATCACGGTCAACACCAGC